AACCAGTGACTGTCAAGTGCAGATGCAGAACAAAAGCGCGACCTCCAACGGTTAATGCTCCTCCAACCTTTGCTCTTCTCGGTCTGCTGAGAAGCTTCGAGAGCCGACTGAGCAAATGCTACAAAATAAAAGCACTTCCTGTGCGTGTAATTTCACAATAATTCGTAATTTCATGCTTAATATGTTATTTAGGACAGGCAGACAGAGTACTTTTTTCATCCCTATGAAAATTATTTTTACAGAAGTCCAGTACCACTCAATACTCACTTGACTAGTTATTTCAAAATAAGGCAAAGATTGAAAAAAGGATAAACTTAATATGGAGGAAGTGATTATGTTAAACAGAAAGGACATGTCAAAAAAAAAGGACTGATTTCAAAATATATAAAGCTTTGCAACAGGATTTGATTGTTAAGAATACAGATATTAAAGAAAAATGGGAACTGGAAGTGACCATAATGATAACAGATGAGGAATGGGAGGAAACACTTGAAGCAGGCCATGAACTAACTAATAGTCTGTCTTGGAGGGAATTTGAATGGAAGGTGAATAATATATACTTCTATATTATATATATTATATATACTTTAAAACTCCACTTATCATGTCTAAATAGTAATGTTTCAAATTTATGTTGGAGAAAATGCGGGCTAGTGGGAGACTTTTCACATATACTTTTGGACTGCCCTAAATTCATACCATTCTGGGAAGGTGTTAGGGAGAAATTGAAAGAACCTTGAAGGTGAAATTACAATTTAAGTTAAAATGGTTTGTACTGGGAATGCTATCTTACACACGTAATGGAGACATACTTAATCAAAATTCTGCTTATGACTGCCAAGAAGTGTATTGCAGTTTTATGGCTGGACACAGAACCCCCAAGGGTGGCACAGTGGAGAGACAGAGTTAGACAGGTCTACAAAATGGAACAATTTAATGCAAGACTATGACTGGGACTAGGGAAATTTGAAAAAATTTGGGAACCTATAAAACAAATGTTAGAAAGATAGTACTCTCATGTGAAAATTATTATTATTATTATTTTTATTTATGTATTTTTGTCTTTTGGGTGAGTTATTTAGCTTGATCAAAGTAAAATGTAGAATGTAGTAGAGAGCAGATAAGATGAATACAGAGAAAGCTTGTCAGAACTATATGTAATGATTGGTGATTTGGTTAAGTTGGATAGATCTCATGGCCACAAGGAAATTCGAACTTTGTTCAGGGAAACACTGCCCTGGAGAAGGGAAGAAGAAATTCAAATGCATCTCCATGTAAATGTTGTTGTTCTAATTCAAAAATAAAAAGTTCCAAATATATATATATATATATATATATATATATATATATATATATATATATATATATATATATAAGTATATATATATATATATATATATATATATACTTATATATAATATATATATATATATATATATATATATATATTATATATAAGTATATATATATATATATATATATATATATATATATATATATATATATATATATATATATATATATATATATATATATACTTATATATAATATATATATATATATATTATATATATATATATATATATATATATATATATATATATATAAGTATATATATATATATATATATATACTTATATAATATATATATATATATATATATATATTAAGTATACTTATACATTACTTGGTGAAATATACTTCTGATAGAGTCAAGTACAAGTATAGTCTAAATGTAAGTAAACTTTAATGTAAGTATGTATTAAAGTATACTTAGTAGTATTTAAAAAATGTACTCGGATAACTATACTTCTGATAAGTACATTGAAAGTAAACTTGGAAGTATACTGTATTCATTTTTAGTATACTTCAAGTATACTTCGGTGTACTTCTTTTTGGTAAGGGCCGGCATCCGGCAAAAATAGGATCGATTCTATTTTTGCCGGACGCCGGAACAGAGGGCGGCGCACTGCGCTGCACTGCCGGAGCACAGCCGCAGTAGTGGAATAGCTCTTATTGACTACAACGGGACCGATTTTGCTGCGGAGTTCGTGCCGGAGCGGAGGTAGTGGAATTTGGGGGTTACAGATACAAGTCGAACAGTTGCATGGATAGACAGCAGTGTGACGGTTGAGCAGCAGCAATACAAATGAGAAGCAGCAGTATGTACAGTCAGGGATAGCCGCATATACGTGATTTCAGGCACGTTCCTAAAGACACCTTTTTCCCTCGAGGTTTTATCACAGCACACCCTAGTGGCCAGTGGTGCACTCTGCATTTCTAAATACCTGCAGGTTGTGGGGCTCACCTGCGTAATTTGGAACACTACTTGCTGTTGTCCAGCAGAGGGCGGTACTGGCACTTAATTGTAACAACCATGAACAGTAAATCACCAAAATAAATGTAAAGACGAATTAAATTACTTTTTAGGTTTCTATCCATTTTTTAATCTAAGTTGATATTTGTTATAACTATACATGGTAGTATATTATTATTTTCCTTTTTTGGAAAAAGGTTTTACACAAAGGTATACCAATAATAACTTGAAATTTCTGTTTCTTACCAAGTTCAACCCAATGTCTGTAAAATAACTCAAAAGGGAATATTTCTAATACATTCATCTGTGGCAGAGTGTGAAGTGTGATCGAAAGGAGTCAGTTGAGGTGGTTTGGGCATCTGGTCAGGATGCCTCCTGGACATCTCCCTGGGGAGGTGTTTCGGGCATGTCCTGCCAGCAGGAGGCCCCCGGGTCGACCCAGGACACGTTGGAGAGGTTACATCTCCAATCTGGTCTGGGAACGCCTTGGGGTCCTGCCGGAGGAGCTGGTGGAGGTGGCCGGGGAGAGGACGGTCTGGAGCTCCTTAGTTGGGATGTTGCCCCCGCAACCCGGACCCGGATAAGCGGAGGAAGACGACGACGATGACGACGATATTCATCTGAGTTTAAATGTATCAAGCTAATGAATAATTTACATCATTTGTGTCAACACAGGATGTCCTGGCACATGGAAACACAGAACTGATTTTGTCGCCCTCTAGCAAAGAAAAGTTGCTACTGCAGCATCTACAAGTGAAATGATTAGCACTTCCTGCAAAATCTTCCAAAAATAAAACACACCAATTAGAATTCACAGAAATGGAAAGAAAATGCTAATTTCCAGATACCAATGGATTGATTACTTCTGTTTCCATCCAGCTGACATAAATATTGCATATTATCCCTTATGGACAGAGGATGTCACCACTAAGTCAAATGATCGATTACAAGTAAGTACATTACATTTTTAATCAGAAAAAAAACAGTGCATGAGAGCTAAATTTCTATTATATAACAAATATTTTGGTGTATTTGGTTTAATTTAGTTTCTTATTTATTCTTTTTATTTTATTTATTCGTTATTTAACCAGGAAGGTCCCATTGAGATTATGCACCTCATTTTCAAGGGAGTCCTGACCAAAAGGCAGCAAAAGTTACAGTTACAAATGCTTCAGTTACACAGACATGTTGACTACAAAATTACAGAAGGCAGTTACAACACAGGGAATTTTATTTTATTTTATTACATTTATTTCATTCAAAGTGTAATATAAAAACAAACAAAACATAAACATCAACGCCAAACAATATCAATGAAATGGGGCTGAAGGAAGAAATATCTTATATATCTTCCCCATTTAACTTTTTAATAATACTTCCATACAATTCTCAAGAAACAACAAAACAAAATAAAACACAAATTCACCCTTTAAGTAGTTTAAAAATTTTTTGTTCATTAAAAATTCATAAATTATTTTTCTCTTAAAAACAAAAATGTGTAGCTTTTGAAAATTGAAACCCTGAGAATGTTTAAATGTCTGTGTTTACTAGATGTGGTTGGCCATTTAATGGTCTTTAAATAATAGTTATGATATAGTTTTATATCTGACATGTTTGATTTAAAAATAGCACTTGTATGCTTTTAAAAATGCATAACTTTATAAGATATTAGCTACTTTATGCATAAGATATTAACTACTTTATAAGATATTAGCTACTTTATTTATAAGATACTAACTACTTTATTTATAAGATATTAACTACTTTATAAGATATTAGCTACTTTATAAGAAATTAGCTACTTTATTTATAAGATATTAGCTACTTTATTTATATTAGCTACTTTATTTACAAGATATTAGCTACTTTAGCTACTTTATAAGATATTAGCTACTTTATTTATAAGATATTAGCTACTTTATTTATATTAGCTACTTTATTTACAAGATATTAGCTACTTTAGCTACTTTATAAGATATTAGCTACTTTATTTATAAGATATTAGCTACTTTATAGGATATTAGCTACTTTATAAGATAACAGCCACTTTATAAGATATTAGTTACTTTATTTATAAGATATTAGCTACTTTATTTATAATATAACAGCTACTTTATTTATAAGATATTAGCTACTTTATTTATAAGATATTAGCTACTTTATACGATATTAGCTACTTTATAAGATATTAGCTACTTTAGCTACTTTATTATAAGATAACAGCCACGTTATAAGATATTAGCTACTTTATAAGATAACAGCCACTTTATAAGATATTAGCTACTTTATTTATAAGATATTAGCCACTTTATAAGATATTAGCTACTTCATTTATAAGATATTAGCTACTTTATTTATAAGATAACAGCTACTTTATAAGATATTAGCTACTTTATATCAACTAAAGAAAAGTCCCGCTGCGTCTACGGTGAGTGTCATTTCGCCAAGTGGCCGCCAGAGGGCGTGTAGTCTGATAGGTCTGCTGTGCATGTGTTGACCCGTCTCGTGGCCACGCCCCTCTTTGTTACTGTGGAAACCAATGAAAAAGATGAATGCGGCTTGTAAACCTGATGGTCAGTGAATTAGCAGACGAGCGTTAGCCGGGTTGTGAGAGCCGAATGAATGGTTTTTATTTGTTGACCGAGCAGAGTGGGGAAGCAAAGTAACGCAGGTATGTAACTAGTTACCGGGGTTCACCCACGAGCGTGCCCCTCTGACGCTAGCCAGCCTAGCTTGCTGCGGTGAGGTAACGTTAGCGGTCAGACGGATCATGTTTACATGTGTAGCTTAAATGCTATCGCTGGATATTCCCGCCTGACAGGATAAGTGACGGATAGTTCCTGCTTGGACCAAAGGAAAGGCGGAACTAACGTTCGTGGGTGAACTAATGACTGGTTAGGGTAATTTTACAGGGATTACAAAACTACGGTAGTATTCGAGTACATATCTGTGTGTGTGTGTGGAAGGCCGTTACGTAAGCTCACCTGTGGCCCTGAGAGATTAAACATTAACATGAAACGTCAGGAAATGATTAAGAGCAGGAGGAAAGGAGCCTTCAGAATAACAGTTAATCTGGTTAGTGTCACCCCCTGAACTCCCTGAGTCATCAGCTCAATCCCAGGTTTTGTTTGCTCTGCGTCTCACCCACTTTCTTTATTATTATACTTCTACACAGAGCTGTATCTCTCCATAGCTCTGCCTTTACACATGAGCTCTGACGGTGTTTGAGCTCTCCTGTCAAACACTTCTTTCTGCATCTGTCGGGTGTGAGTTGGTACGTTTCATTTAGAAAGGTGGAATCAGGACAACAAGTCGAGCCTTTTTCATCTAACCCGCTTCTGTTTTTCTGCAGGTAGCTGACCCGGTCACGCCCCGTGTCCAGGACTACCTGAGAGTCCCCAGTGGCACGTGCTCGGACATCTGCTGACCAACAGCCCCCCCCCCCCCCCCCCCCCCCCCCCCCCCCCCAGCCAAACCAGCCATTGCAAACAAGATCAGGTTTTTCTCCTCGGCCTCCACTTGAATTTTCTTTGGGAGGGGAGTTGCTCAACAGCTTTTTCCATTTCCTGAAGTTTAAACCTGAATCCAGGCAGCTGTGAGGAGCAGCACGACACACTGGCTACAGCAATAGCCACTGCATAAACATGTTTTTAGACCACTTTTCCTTTTCAGTGGTGACTCTTCCCACATAATTTACCTTTTTTTTAGACTTTCAGGTTATTTCTGAGACCATTTAGCTTTTTAACTTGGTTTAATCCATGAAAAACCAAAGTGAAATGGGAGGGGGGGCATTGGAGAACGAGGCTTTGGGCCTTCATGAAAACAAAAAAGCTGCAGAAGACGGTGGAAGTGAGAAAGAGGTAGATGAAGAGGAGGAGGGGAAGACGGTTCGGATACCCAGGTATCGCTGGGTGATGCATGCAGCGGTGATGTTTGGACGTGAGTTCTGCTACGCCATGGAAACAGCCCTGGTGACACCAGTGCTGCTGCAGATAGGTGGGTACTAATCACCTGGCGGCCATGTTGGGAACGCTCCTGACACGTCCTGTCTGGTTCTTATCCCGTCTGCTCACATGAGTAGAACATGATCGATTCAGGCGTAAACACCAAAGGATGGGTGTAAGAGTAACTCACACACACACACACACACCGTATTGGAACCGTGGTTTGGTTTGTGACCAGTGTGTGTGGCGGTCCTGGACATCGTAGGATGACCTGTAATCTGCCGGTCTGCACCCTGTGCCGCCTCGCCCGGGGGGGCGACTGTCGGGGGTTAGAGGTCAAGTTTGCCAGCTTAGCAGAATCGGAACAATGGCCGTTTCCCGGGCTCCGGTATGGCAGGAATGTGTGATGCAGCACATTTCAGCTCCACGGTTTTTCATTCTGGTACCAAGATGTAAACGTGACTTCATTCAGGTTTCAGTGGTGATGAAATCTGTTCGGTTGACATCGATTTCTTTTTTAATCAAAACAAAGTTTGAATTAAACAATCGTTTCTACTCTAATTTAAATGTCTACCCCGGCATTGTGCGGCATTTATTTACTGTATTTCTTATTTAGACTCGTGTGTTTCCATGGAAACAACTTTTCTAAATGATGGCAGCCGGAAGCGTCGGAGCTCTGTACCCGTTTTTGTGGATGTTTGTACCTCTCCATGCTGGACTTCAGCCTCTAGAATAAAAGTCTCAGCCTCTGAACTCCTCCCGGATGATTTAACATATTTTAGTGTTCCGAGACCCTCGGGGCGTGGTGGAGGATTGGCAGTGATATTTAAGTCATCAGTTATGTGTAGGCAGGTATATCCATCCTCTGTGCCCACCAGCTTTGAACTATGCCTCTGTGAGCTGGGATGCTCTCAGAAGCTACTGGTTGCTCTCCTATATCGCCCACCGAGACAAAACTCTGATTTTATAGATGATTTTACTGAACTGCTTGGCGAGCTGACTCTGAAGTATGATCAAGTGTTACTTCTTGGGGACTTTAACATTCATGTGTGCTGTCAGGATAAACCTTTGGTGAAGATTTTTTAAATCTTGCTGACTCTTTTAATTTGGTTCAGTTAGTGGACCAATCCACACACGCTAGTCGCCATATTTTAGACTTGGTGCTGTCACTGGGTGTAGGAGTCTCCAACCTGCAGGTCCAAGAGGCCTATTTTTCAGATCACAGGCCGGTATTGTTTGATGTGACCTGGAATCACAAACGTGTGCAACAATATGCTCCGATGAAGCATTGTCGGATGTTAAGACTCTACAGCTGCCGAGTTTGCCGCAGTGTTTTCTAGGGGGGGTGCGGAGCAAGACTACAGAACTTGGACCACAGAAGAGCTTGTTATACGCTTTGACTCAGCATGCACCATGGCGCTTGAAGTGGTAGCCCCAGTATGGGTAAAGAAACCTAAAGCTAAAAAGGAGCCGTGGTTAACTGAGAGTACTCGAGCACTGAAAAGGATGTGCAGGAAGGCCGAGCGGAGGTGGAGAAAGGATGGGCTCCAGAGCTGGCTTGACCTAATAAGAGGACTTTGGATTGGCTATCAGAAGGCTGTGAAAGATGCAAGGAGAAAGTACTTTGCCAACATAATCTCCCTAAACTCTCAGAATGCTGGGATACTTTTTAAGACCGTGGACTCTATTTTAAATGTCAATGAGCCCCTTGCGATTGAGTACTCCACTGAGTCATGTAACAAGTTGTTGGACTTCTTTGTGGACAAGGTAAGGGTGACAAGGGCCTCTATTCCACCACTTAAGCACGCCCCCTCTGCAGATCTCTGTGTTCCAAAGGCACTGGAGGGTTTTCAACCATTAACTCTTGCAGAGCTTGAGGATCTGGTCATGAGACTTAAGCCGACAGGGGCGGTAACTGATGTTCTCCCGGCAAGGCTACTGACAGAAGTTTTTCCTGTAGTGGGTGATCACGTACTGCAAATTGTAAATAGCAGCTTGATATCTGGGGAAGTCCCTAGTCCCCTAAAGCAGGCGGTGGTACGACCTCTGCTTAAGAAATCAGGGTTGGACCCAACAATCTTGTCCAATTACAGACCTGTATCTACACTGCCTTTCATCTCAAAGATCAGAGAGAGGGCTGTGTTTATCCAACTGACGTCTTTTCTACAGGAATGGGAAATTGGAGAAGTATTTCAACCTGGGTTTAAACCCTTTCATAGCACTGAATCTGCCCTGCTTAAGGTCCTTGATGACATTTTATAGGCTAATGATTCCGGTGATGCTGTGGTTCTGGTGCCCTTTGATACCGTTAACCGTAGCATCCTAATAAACCGGCTGGAGCGGTCTGTGGGCATTACGGGCCAGCCACTTAAGTGGATAAGATCCTACTTGACTGGGAGGAGTTTTTGTGTAAGGTTGGGGGACTGTTCCTCCAATCTGGCTGAGCTGCCTTGGGGAGTCCCCCAGGGATCGATTTTGGCCCCACTATTATTCTCCCTATATCTCCTACCCCTGGGTGAACTATTCCGTAAACATGACGTGTCATTCCATCTATATGCTGATGATTGCCAGGTCATTTTTCCTATTAGGCGTGGTGGTTTATGTACCATTCAACCTCTTTGGGTCTAGTCGAGACCAGCAGAAGCCACTAACGGCCTCCGGAGACACGTCTGCGTTTGGCTGCAAGGCCACTGGAAGCCTAAACTGCAGTTGGGATTAAACCTGTGCCTTTATGGGAAAACCGTCTGCTCTGTGGAATAACGGGAGCTGAAGAGTGGAAATCAGCCAAGAAACACAGCTGCTTGGAAAACTTCAGGAGGTTTTTAAATGAGAGCTGAGGAGCTTTTTTCTGGACGAGTCTGCAGAACCGGTTTCAGTTAGAATCAGCAGTCACCTCACTCATGGACGCGAACTACCCCTCAGCTCTACCAGAGGTAGCCAAACAGCTCTTTGGTTTGAAAATCACAACTCAATCACTGATGATTGGCTGCCTTTCATTTGTAAATGTGGCAGAGCACAGACTGGCCCACTGGAATGTGGAGGACTGTTATCTCTTTAGCCTTTAGCCCTGGTAGAAAATGACACGAGCTCTTTTTACAAGACACACTGTGCCGGCAAACGGTTGCTTTTATTTTTGATTTTTTCACTATATTTACCTTCTACTGTACCATGTTCAGCGCCTTGGGCTTCCTGACAGGGTTGCGGAAGGCGCTTTATAAATAAAGCTTTGATTGATTAATTGATTGAAATCAGCGCAGCATTACCACAACAGTGTGTTTTATAACGGTGTGTGAATTTAGCTGCATTTGTTGTGCCTCGCTATTGTGGTAATGTCTGTCCTATAAACAGCGACTGCGCCTTGGCACAACAGAGGAAGATGTCAAATGACGTAAAAAATGTGCGGCGACCCCCGACCAGAAAGAGTAAATAAACCACGTAAACATGGGAAAGTTGGTAAACAACCAGCGGACATGGCTTCACGAGCAGAGGCCGAAGTAGCCAGACCGTTCTCAGCAGTGTGTGTGTGTGTGTGTGTGTGTGTGTGTGTGGGGGGGGGGGGGATCTTTACATTATGCTCTAATGGGAAACGGGCTTCAACACAAACGGTTGTTTTCTGCTTGCTCCTAGACCAGTGTCAGTTTAATATAGCGTAATGTAGTTTTTGGATGGTAAAAAGTGCGGGGGGGGGGGGGTTGTCAAAACTTGACTTTGGAAAAAGTGGGGGGGCATGTCTCCCCCCCCCCCCCCCCCCCCCCCCACAAAAAAAATTACGTCCATGATTCTCAGGAACTGTGACGGGCTGCCACCTCTTTGAGTGTTTGTCTGAAGAACTCTAGCAGCGTGGCTTCAGCAGAGACGGAGAACAGATCACGTCAAAACTCAAAGGACTGAAGAAGTTTCACTTTTCACTGTTTGGTTTTACGTGCAGGTGCAGCCAGGTACCCTGAAAGATAATCCTGTTTGGATGTAGCTGATCACCTGAAGCCTTTTCCAGAGTCTGGCTTGTTTTCAACACCTGAAAAGCAGCTTCATCACAGCTGTTATCAGCCTTCTATTGGAACCTGGACGATGGACGCCGGCGTTGCAGTTAACCTGCATCATTCCCCCCAAACTGTCTGAGTTGCAATAGAAAACATCCACAAAGGCTTGTTGTTCTAATAAAGAAGATCTGAAGAGCCTCTGACGGAAGACTCTCGCTGAGTAGTTTGGTGTGTCTGGTTTTTCTCTAGCTGCCTCTTTACCTGACTGCTAGAAAAAAAAAGGCTAGAGGGGAAGGTGAGGGGAGGGGAGCACCAGCATCTCCTGAAGCGATTTACAGAACAAAGGTGAACGTTCACAAGCGATTAAGAATGCTAGGTGAAAACAACGGTGCTAAATGGAGGCTCTCTGGTAGATCGAGGGGGGTGGAGCCAGTTGGAGGCTCTCTGGTAGATCGAGGGGGGTGGAGCCAGTTGGAGGCTCTCTGGTAGATCGAGGGGGGTGGAGCCAGTTGGAGGCTCTCTGGTAGATCGAGGGGGGTGGAGCCAGTTGGAGGCTCTCTGGTAGATCGAGGGGGGTGGAGCCAGTTGGAGGCTCTCTGGTAGATCGAGGGGGGTGGAGCCAGTTGGAGGCTCTCTGGTAGATCGAGGGGGGTGGAGCCAGTTGGAGGCTCTCTGGTAGATCGAGGGGGGTGGAGCCAGTTGGAGGCTCTCTGGTAGATCGAGGGGGGGGTGGAGCCAGTTGGAGGCTCTCTGGTAGATCGAGGGGGGTGGAGCCAGTTGGAGGCTCTCTGGTAGATCGAGGGGGGGTGGAGCCAGTTGGAGGCTCTCTGGGAGTTCTAGTGTTAACGTGTAGTAATTTTGTAACACGCCGAGGAGGTACGCTCAAGTTTCACATTAACCGTTTGGTCTCCAGAAAACTTTGACTTCTGCTCAGTTGTGCCTGGTCTCGCCACGTTCTGATGTTGACCACTTTCCCCAGGTCTTCCTGAGCAGTACTACAGTCTGACGTGGTTCCTCAGCCCCATCCTGGGCCTCCTCTTCACCCCGCTGATCGGCTCGGCCAGTGATGGCTGCACCCTGCGGTGGGGCAGGAGGAGACCTTTCATCCTGGCTCTTTGTACGGGTGTCCTGCTGGGAGTGGCGCTGTTTTTAAACGGCTCACTGATTGGTCCGTAAGACTTCAGATGATTTCCCAAGTGTTGCACACACCTGATTTATTTATATGTGTGGTCTTTCAGGTCTCTCCATTGGAGACAGCCCAAGCAGTCAGCCTATTGGCATTGTTCTGTCGGTGGTGGGGGTGGTGGTGCTGGACTTCTGCGCTGACGCCTCCGAGGGACCAATCAGAGCTTACCTCCTGGACGTTGCTGATGCTGAAGAGCAGGACATGGCTCTGAACATTCATGGTCTCTCTGCTGGTAGGACTTTAGATCATGCACAGTCACTTCTGTAGAAACTAACACGGGTCACGTTCTAAACCCGGGTTCCGTAACTTTATTGGTACTTCTCCGTTGTGCTGTGCAGAAATCTGCAAACGCCTGCAGAAAAGCGTCAACAGCCACTAGTTTTTGGTTTTTCCTGCATCTTGTTCAGACTTGCGCTGCCGGCTTGTGATGCATC